GCCGGGCTCCGCCTGAAGAGGAGACGTGGGTCCCCATTCCACCACCAAGGATATGATGGTCTTCAACTTATGTTGAAGATCTTTAACATAAAAACACCTTATAAGTTCAACACCTTATGCTGAACAGAAGACATTCATCTTGTGTTGAGGATGTTCAGCATAAGAACATCTTCATGAGATGAACATCGTCTAATGAATATGTTCTTATGTTCATTACCTTATGTTGAGCAGAAGATATTCTTCATCTTTTGTTCAATATTTCATATAATTATGAGACACAACACAATAGCTGATGTTAAATTGTTCACAAAATCAAGCTACATTTTTTGTTGTGTTACGAGATATTTTTCTTTATAATTCACTTCCTAAAAAAAATAAAGGAATGAACTGTTGACAAAAAAGTTCCAAATTGTTGACTTTTTTACCTTTTCAGTATAATTATAAAAAATAATTATCAAAAAATTATAATTATAAAAAAATCTGTTTTGTCACATGATTACAACTAGTCCACTGGCCCAGTATAAAAAGTCATTGCAGCATAAAGTATCGACTAGTCAACTAGTTGGGGCAATCACTACACAAGTTTTGAATTGTATCAAATTCTAACTGTTTGCAGCTTTAGTTATTTTTAATGAGTTCTACTGCTCCTGCTGATATTATTATTATTATTATTATTATTAATAATAATAACAAAACTATTCTGTGTCCCCAGAACCAAACATGAAGGCACATCGTGTTCAGCTTCAATGCATCAAAAATGTGTAACAAACTTCCAGAATATTGCACAACTGCTGAAACACTAAGTGTCTTTAAATCTAGATTAAAAATCCACCTGTTTAGAGTTGCATTTGAAAGATCATGGATTCATAATTTAATGATGGCACTTGAGTACATGTAATGTTTCAATTGTTCATTGTGTGTTGGATGACTGTTTTTTTGTTTTTATGATGTAAAGCACTTTTTTGCCTTCTTTGCCTTGTTTCTGAAATGTGCTATACAAATAAAATTTGTCTGATTGATCGATTGATATTCATCAAAATTATTTTCTGTCTTCTACTTCCAGAAGCCAGTGCTGGAGTCCCCTTTCATAGAGTCTTACCAGCGAGTTTGTACCTACAACATGACACGTATGGCCAGTGTGAAACTACCCAACTGCAAGCCCAACATTGACCCAATATACACCTATCCTGTGGCCCTACGATGTGCCTGTGGGTTCTGTCTGACAAGCACCACTGAATGTATAACATCTGTCTGAAAATTTGGTGCAATGCAGATCAGTTCTTCTATTAAATTTTATTTCAGTTCAGTTGTTTTTTTCAGATGACCTGAATTAAACATATAACCAACTTTGTTATTTGTAACAAAAAGTACAATTATCCAAGTACATATTAAATGACTCTGCTTTACTCAAAGCAAATGTATACATTTACTGAAGTTCAGACTATTAAAATAAGGAAGTAATCTGACCTTTTTGACCTTTTGAGAGGTTTCAAAGGTGGTAGGGTGATGGAGTTCTTCAAAAAAGTTAATGCTGACAGAATAATTGACACTGGACATTCAATAGTTCACTGTTCTACTAACAAGGAACCAAACAGACATGGGCAAACAGACTCACTATTTAGGCCATTTAAGACTTTAGGCAACATCAATACTTTATATTAGAAACCACCACTATATGCTGTTGGGCCAGCCAAGAAGATTTTAATTAAGGTGAGTAAATAGATGGCATAAGAACAATTAATCACAAAATGTACTGCATTTTCCACTTTCAGTTTAGCAGAAAGAGGAGTTTTGCTGTGTGAGTATAAAGAGTACAAAGGTTAGCTGCTGAAGCATCTCGTCATTTGAGCAGGTGACATTAGGAGGTAGTGTGCAAACTTCCCCTTTACTTCGCTGGTGAAGGGACAACTGCATCTTACCAGAAGCCCTGGATCCAAAATATACGTACAGTCAACTGTCCTGATATCCAGTGTCAATATTCTCTCCAAATAGAAAGGCCTTGATCCTGACTTATTCATAATTGTTTGGAAGGAATTTTTTTTAATCTAAATTCCCCAAAAGAGTTATTGTCTCTGATACTGACAAAGTTGTTGACACAGTCCCAAGCTTGCTCCAGTCTAGAGCAGAGAAGTGAAGTGCTGCTTCATCTAAACTTAGCTAACATCAACAGAAATGAGTCTGGAGCTGAGAGAATGTCGCACGTTATGAGGTAATGTGTGCACACACACATGCTGCCTGCTTACCAGATGGTCCCCCAGACAAAGAGCAGACACAAAGCTAAGAGAAGATGCCAACAATGCAAACACCTTCCCACTATCCACTCCTTACCTTCTCCTCCCCTTTGATCTCTGTCACACAACTCACTGTCCACTAGAGATTTCCCTGGTTCTTAAGAACTGTTCAAGTAAGATTTTTGTCAGAGAAGACATGAGTTAGCTGAGAATAAATCACTTGAATATTGTTTGATAATCTATTTCATCAAGGTTTGTTGGGTTTTGCAGGATTTTAAGATTTAAAACTGACTGGATACAAACAGGGAACAGTGTGTTTTAAGAGTTTATTGATTGATGGTCTTTTTAATCTTGGAATGTGAGCTTACTTTGTTTTAACTGTGATTTTATTTGTTGTTTCCCACTAAGCTATGTAAAATAGTCCTAAAAAACTTACTGTCTATTTTCTAACAAGCTAAATTAGCTTTGCTCTCTTTTTCAAGTCAAGTCGTCAAGTCAAGTAAAGTCAAGTCAAAATTTATTTATATAGCACATTTACAACAATCTCAGCTGACCAATGTGCTTCACAACAAACACATCACAGGTGGATAAATGATAAAATAGAAAATAAAATTAAATTTATTAAAATAATAAAACAAATATAAAATTGTCAAAAATACCACAAACTAATAGTATGAATAATAACCAAACACTTAAATTTTAGCTGCAGCAATTTTTCTTCCATTCTTTACCTTTTCTCTTTAGCAGGTGTTGAAAAT